AGAAATTCTCCTAGAAAGAAATTGCGAAAGAAATTCGCTATGGGAATATCCAACTGAAGGATTATCATTTTTAATTATGTACCTATATTCTGCCCTCCCCCCCCAGCGCTGCCTTGGCGTCTTTGCTTTTATCAATCCGAGGGTTATCAGTGTCACTTTATTTCTCTACAGCCAGATAAAAAAAATTTTTAGAACCCGTTGGAGCTGTTGCTTTTAACTGTTGGATTGCTACTGGTGGTGATCATTTCGTGTAATGTTTAAAATATTGGTTTTGCAAAGTGCTTTGAGCTCCAACTGTGGCAAAGAGAGGTGATTGTATCTGGAAGGAAAATACGAAAAACAACTTTTTTTCCCTTTTTTTGTGGCGGAACAAATGTCTGCACGTGAGAGGCTTCTACCTAAAAGTCTTCTGCAGTCCTTTTACAAATCAGTTTTCCCTTTTCTGACCTTTCCCCCTATCTCCCCTCCTGCTCTGATCTGAGGGTTGTGTGTGTGTCTGTGTGTGTGTTTATGTGGAAAGCTTTCTGTTTTGAATGGCTTAGGTTCTCTACCTACCCCCATGTCTTGAGGGCAAATGCTGCCATGCTCTGTGATGCAGGAAATGTGTCAGCCCATGATTGTATTAACAAAAGAGAGAGAGTGGGGGGGGGGGAAACCCAGCAGTTTATATATAACAGTTTATTTTGCTTGGGTTTGATGGGTCCCCATCGCTACACAAATAGGTTTGGTTCCCATGCTCTGTGATGCAGGAAATGTGTCAGCCCATGATTGTATTAAAAAAAGAGAGAGAGTGGGGGGGGGGGGAAACCCAGCAGTTTATATATAACAGTTTATTTTGCTTGGGTTTGATGGAGCCCCATCGCTACACAAATAGGTTTGGTTCTGGATTTAGGGAATAGGAAGAATCTAACCTTTTATTTTTAAATTGAAGTGGCTTTTTAAAAAATCCTCACCTTACCCTGCACGCCATTATTGGTTGTTTCTGGTATTTGCTATTATTAATTAAAATATTTATTATTATTGCTATTTGTTTAATTGGGGTGGAACCCTCTCAGAACCCCTTCTTTAAGACATTAAATATTCTCTTGCTTGTTTTAATTGGCTGTACCAATAAATAGTGTTCTCATCACATATTTAGCCTTTGTAAATATTTGAAAGAATTTGCATCTGCTCTTTGGTTCACTCTGAGTTTGCTTTTATTTGTTGGATTTCATCCTAATTTTTTGAGTCATATTTAAACAAAATGTGTCTGTCTGTTTTCACCTCCAAAAGGAGAAACTGGTCTTGGGAAATCCACGTTGATGGATACGCTGTTCAACACCAAGTTTGAAGGCGAACCAGCTTCTCATTCCCAGCCAGGAGTTCAGCTGAAATCCAGTTCTTATGACCTGCAGGAAAGTAATGTTCATTTGAAGCTGACCATTGTCAGCACGGTGGGCTTTGGCGATCAGATTAACAAAGAGGACAGGTAAGCAGCAGTTGTTCATGGTGAAATAGACTTTAGGACTTATCTTCTGGGCAGTTTCATCTTGAGAGCCAAATCTGGTAATAGCGTGTTGGCTAAATCCAGAGAAATCAAAGACGGGTCCTTAGATCAGCTCAGATGAACCCACGGGGCAGGGAAGGGACTGGACTGGGTGGTTTTTCATCATGCAAAATTTCATGTATACAGAAAAGAAGCACATTGCTCTCAGTCATTATATTATTGCACTTGTGGAAAGAAACAGTTGCATTTTTATTCCAGTTGGCCATTATTGAGCTATTATGACTGTTTGCTTCTAGGGAAGAAATATAGCTGTCTGGTTGATCTGTGCAGTTGTCGCAAATATATATACAGGAATGGTGGGTTAGAGGCAGAAGCATTGCTAATGATTTCCAAAAGACTTTGTGTAATCCAGCCTCCCCCAATTCGACATCTGCCAAATGTTTTAGGATTGCAGCTCCCAGAATTCCTTTCAGCCATGCTGCTGAGAATTCTGGGAGTGGTGGTGCCCACCCATCTGGAGAATACCAGGTGAGGGAGGCTGCTCAAAAGAAGCTTTTTCTGTGTAGGAAGCGCTAGAGGAGGACTAACATGTGTTCTGTGTTCTCTCTCCCCATTTCTTTTTATGAAGCTATAAACCCATTGTGGAATTCATCGATACCCAATTTGAAGCCTATTTGCAAGAGGAGCTGAAAATTAAGCGGGTGCTGCATAATTACCATGATTCCAGGGTCCATGCTTGCCTGTATTTCATCGCTCCCACAGGACATTCTTTGAAATCCCTGGATCTGGTAACAATGAAGAAACTGGACAGTAAGGTAGGAAGTGCAAGGTCGCCTGACGAGGACTTGTTGGTTCTTCTGCTTCATGTGACCCCAGAAGTGGGTTGTCCACTTCAGTGATGCTTCTTAGGCTTTGAAAAGTGGGATGAAGTTCATCTGTAGATCCTCTGGTTTGGGTGCAGGACTCTTAATTCAGTCCCTCTTAAGTAGAGTCCAGTAGCGAGTTTGAGGCCTTTTCTTTAACAAAGATCCTGGACAGCTCTGGTTGATCTGAATGGATAATCTTGAGTTGAATCAAAGCTAGACAACCTGTGGCATATGAAACTTTCTCTGATTATGCCACTGAATAGCCATGACATGCATTCCAGAAATTGATGCATGGTAATGTAAGGTTAATTGCAGTCATGCTAGCCCATTTTGGGTCTAGAAATCCATGGAAAAGGAATGGAAGCCCGCAGTAGCCTAAGATCTCCCAGAATCTTGCTTCCCACGCAAAGAAATATGGGTGTGCATATTTCCTATTAAGGTTTAATTCTTTTCTAACAACTTTTGAAAATATTTTTTAAGAAGTCCAGGAAAATATAAAGGAGAATCCCAGCTGGTTTGGTCCACTGTGAAACATCCCCTCTCCCGCTGAAAAAACTGCCCTGGTTTTTAGGCAGATGGCTCTGGGAATGTTCATACAATCAAACTTTGTGTAGTTTAAATGTTCAGAACGCTTCCTTTCTCCTTTGGCATTGCCTGCAGGTGAATATCATTCCTATCATTGCCAAATCTGACGCCATCTCCAAGAGCGAGCTGACCAAATTCAAAATTAAGATCACAAGTGAACTAGTGAGCAACGGAGTGCAAATCTATCAGTTCCCTACCGATGATGAATCCGTGTCAGAAATAAATGGAACCATGAACGTAAGATAATACTGAAACAATAGCTGCTGTAGGTTGTTTTTTTTTTGGACAAGGGGTTGTCCAGCTGTGTTTGCAGAACACTTGCTATAAAGATTACCTAGGTCATGGAGAGAATGCACGAACACCCATATTTTCCCACATAATGTGAAAGATTTACACACCATTGTCATCGGAGCCCATAGTGACAGTCTGCAGTGAAATTAATATTTTTAACTGAGCTAATTTGGGAGGAGGGATTGTACTGTTTATGATCCCAGTTTTGCCAGTCTGTAGATTTTAGTTTTGTCAATGTTGCCTCAATCATCTGAATGGTTCCCTTAATGAAAAATTACAAAAATAACCACTCCAGAATCCTGGGTTACCTAAAATCACCTGTTCTGCTTCAAGGACACTTGGAGCAGCACCATACTGAGGCACTATCCCGTGTCCATTGCAAAGCCTATAATATACTTTCAGTCATGAGGACTAGAAGCTTCTCTTCTTAAGAAGTCTATTACAATCTTACTGGGCAAGGATGGTTAGAATATTGTAGCGTCAGTAGAATCTAGTGACCAGCGTGTTACGCTTGGAGCTGGATTTCCTATTTCACATCAGCCATGAAGGTGCCCTCAAGGAAGCTAGTGACTCTGTAAAATAAGGCCAACTTTTTCGTGAGACGGGCGGTATCTACATTTGAAATATGAATAAATAAATAAACTTGAAATTGAGCAGAGGGTGAAGTTAGAATTCTCTTTCTTCAATATCCTTTTGGTTGGATAAAGTGATATCCAGAAGAGAGAAAATAATCAGTGCTACTCTTACCTGTGTGTTATGTGCTGCTAAGTCAACCCAGAAACAATTGAATTCCAATAGCAATATTATTTTTATGGTTGTACAGCCAGGCCTAAAAGTCAGCTGTTTTATTTTTCTTTTTCTGGCGGCCATCTCTGGCTATTTCCCATGCGCAGGGTGGCGAGAAACGAGTTTTTGCTTTTCTGTAGGCTGGAGACTTTATTTATGCACAGTTTCTCATGGCAACGAAGTCACCTTCGTATCCCTTCTGTGCTTTGCTTTTCCCAAATCTAGAAAAGGGTGGGTGTTTGTTTGCAGGTAAAAGTTATTTTTAAATGGATGAAGGAAAGGTCATCTGTTAAAAATTCTGAGTTGCGCTTCTCAAAGGTGGACCTCACAATGTCGCCCTATGTGGGAAGAATCGTGGTTCCTTGTTGAAGAATCTGGACTGATTCTGGTGCTGCTCCGTCAAAACTCGCTCTTTGGATGAAAAAGTTGCTCTCTGAGCGAGATGAGCAGTGACTAAATTTGAAATATATATAAATAAATAAATAAATCTCGAATGCAGCTTTTTATGTAGTGGTGCTCCCCTTGGTTTTCTAATTGGAGACGTGTGCATACACCAAAAATAGCAGCTCCTGTGCAGAACTGCTGAAGCCTTCTAGCTTCCAACTGAACTAAATATTGCATTTGGAAAAAAGATTCATACCTTACCTCTGTTACAAACTTTCAGCCAGAACTTCCTCGTCCTCTGTATTGTTTCTCCGTCCACAACATAGAAAGAATATTGCTTTTGATTTTAGTTTGTTTTTATTGAACTATGATTAACAAAGATTATCAGATAACTAAATTAACATAAATCAAGATGCATAGAAGGAAAAAAAAGATATAAAAAATACAAACAAATCTACTAAAATGCAAATAGACAGGTACTGTACATGTATGAATTTACCATATATGTAAACTGTTACCCTATTATAGTCTTTTGCTCTTGAGGTAAACCATAAAATCCATCCAAATTTGATAAAATTGTGGTTCCTGCCTCTGATGGCTCATTATTTTAACTTTGTGATTTTTTCTAATGTGGCCATTGAAGAGGCCTTCTTAATCCACATCTCAATTGTTATGTTATCTAGAGTTTTCCAATGTTGGGCAATTATTATTTTAGCTGCTAAAATTAAATAGATAATAAGTTCCTTATTTTTAAGCTTGAGATTTGGTCTTGTAAATAAATGCAGGAACCCTAACTCTGGGGAGACTTCAGTTCTTTGTTTCATAATGGTACTGATGAACATCACAGGGTTGATATGATTTTCTAAAATGTCTTTGTGATGTGGTTTGAACAATTCTGGAAAGTACATCTACTATCTTAGTTAAATGCCTTTGAGCTGGGCCCCCCATCTTGAATTCTCTCTGGTCATTATCCAGAGTTTTTCTAAATCTTGGTCCTGTCAATCCATATTTCCCATTTTCCTCCCATTTTTGATTTCCTTCAACCTGGCAAAGTTTTCTAGCTCTAGTCTGTCATCTATACCCATCCCATGGCCAAAGTATATGAGTTTCTCTGCTTGCTGATCACTACCTGAAGAGAGCTGTCAGCCTTGATTTGGTCCAGTCCAGTCCTGACCTGATCTGTTCATTTTGCAGTCCATGATACTTCCAGTAATAATTTCCAAAGCCATAATCAAAAGTGCCTATATAAGAGCTCTTGAATGAAAGGTGGGGCATAAATGGAATAATAAATATGCAGCAACTAATAAAGCCTTTGAGCTTGTGGCCTCCCCTCTCTGTGAGGTCCTTAGAATAAAATCTGATGATAAAGTTTTCCTTTTGGAGTAACAAAAATTATTTGAAATGAAGGAACAAATGGTAGTCTAGAATCCCACCTTCTTCTGCAAAGTCTGGCACCTCCCTTGTTCACTCCTTCCCACTGTCACTAAACGTAAGCTGAAACAAGTTTGTTTCCATGTGTATTCCCACCACTATTTCCTTCCACTTTCTCTGATTGTCTCTTTGGTCTCAAATTTTATTTCACTGTGACATACCTCCCTGTTCCTTTTATCAACTGCTATGCATCTGGAGGACTATACGTTAAATCTGTAAAACATTTTGGGTGGTATACTTGATTTTAAAGGTTAATATGGTTATTATCCTGCACATTAATGACAAGGAGAGGTTAGCAGGTCTTGATAACATCAGAGTGGATGTTATTGGCCACCTTGGCCTTACAGGTTCATCAGAAGAATGCTTGGCATGCTGAAGGAAATGCTACACGCAACTAACAATTGCATTCTTTGTTTTTCTTGGGGTGCTCCAGGCTCACTTACCATTTGCCATCATTGGCAGCACAGAAGAAGTCAAGATAGGAAATAAAATGATGAAGGCACGCCAGTATCCATGGGGGACCGTACAGGGTGAGTAACGTTGCTAGTTCAAGAGAGCTGGGTGGCATCGTGACAGAATGGCCCTCCTTGTTGTGTTAGCTAGACCAGGCGCAGCTGACCTAGAATAATACACAATAGAAGGTCCCATAAAAGTTCCCCTCAGTGTAATGGCGTTTAGAGCAACCTGCATTCAGATAAGCCTCACCTGTCACCCTCTTTTTATCTATCCATACAGTGGAAAATGAAGCCCACTGTGACTTTGTGAAACTCAGAGAGATGTTGATCCGGGTAAACATGGAAGATCTTCGTGAACAAACCCACACGCGCCATTATGAGTTATATCGGCGATGTAAACTGGAGGAAATGGGATTTAAGGATACTGATCCAGACAGCAAGCCGTTCAGGTATTATTTACCAGGACAGGGGAATCTGTGGAAGGAGGGGGCTGTCAAAAAAAATCAAGATGGTGGTTGCAACTGCATGATTAAAGCTTGACTTTTTTGACCTGCTTCAACAGTTATCCCTGCACCAGAATGCTACTTAATATGACTGGTGGAAAAAAATTCACTTTGGAAAGAAAAAAAAACTACCAGTCCTGTTTCAAACAACATGAACATTGTCTAGATTCTTTCGTAGCACCAAGCCAGCCAAGAAGTATTTCAAATGTTGATTGTTCGGTCAGCTCTTTGTTTCTTTCCCCCCTGTTCTCCTAGATAAACATAAAACAAGCAAAAAATGTGGATAAATGTAAGACAAACAAAAAATGAGCCATGTTTCTGAGCTCAAATATGGCTACATTTATACAACACTAATTTATAATTTGTTGAACAAGCTATATGGCTGAGTTCCCACAACAGGCTAAACTAAAAACAAACTAACTTAGCATTGTGTGTTGCACTAAATTTTGAATATTTAGCAATAATATGTGTGTACAGAGCTATGCAAAATTTTGTCTTTATCTGATTGAATGGGATTTTTATGATTATGATTATGATTGCTTCAGCTTGTGGCTTCCAGAAATGGTTTGGAGACATATAAGGACAATATGAATATGAAAAAAGCTCAAAATCTTTGAGTGCTATATCTTTTTCTTCACATTTTTACTGAACAATCTTTTTTCACCCACATCATTTCAGTTTTTCATAATAACAGTAAAGGAAGTAATGCCAAAACAATTTCATGCTATAAATACTCAGCACAGACACCTATTTTATTTTCTGAGCGCAGATTTTTAAGTTTTCATCCCAAGGTCTTTCTTGCCAGCAACATACTTTAACCCCATATCTAGAAACTTACAGACATTTATTTTTAATGAACACACCGTTGGCTAGAGATCAGATCCGCCTTTCCATTCAGTTCAATATAACCATGGCTCTGCAGATGTCAGGGCAGAAGACGCTAATAGGTTTTTGATCACATGAGCCACCAGCTGACTCAAACTGAATCCTCCTTTAAAATGTGGCCCCTTCCACCTTCTTGCTTTAGTTTACAAGAAACCTACGAGGCGAAAAGGAATGAATTTCTGGGAGAACTGCAGAAGAAAGAGGAGGAAATGAGGCAGATGTTTGTCCAGAGAGTCAAAGAGAAGGAAGCGGAGCTGAAAGAGGCTGAAAAAGAGGTGAACTGATGAGGGTCTGCAGGGAGGGCGAAGCGGCGTCACGTACATCAGGACCGAGATAACTAAATGGTTTAAGTTTGAGCAGTGCTTCTTGTTTTAAATGCATTCTTTTCATCACAGCAAGATGGCTTTAGTTTCAATCAGGCTGCAAACCTTACAGCATCGCCTGCGTTGTGTTTTGTGGAATCTCCCCAAAGCGATATCTCAGATATGACCTCCAGGAGGACTATTTCCCACTTAAAATAAGTAGGGTTTTCAATCATCACCTTCTTGCGTACTCTTTTTCTGTGCAAAGCAAAGAAAGAATATCTGTGAATATATCCACGACAGCCGTAGAGAATACATTTGCAAACACACATGAATTCTGAGGTTTTAAGAAAAGCTGATGTAGAGTTTCACTTTAGTACGTTTCTCAGGATGCCACATATTGTGAGAGATTTAAGGCAAGATACACTACCTCAGAGATGCATTTAATTTAAATCAAAGCTCTCTTTTGTGCTACAGCGTCATCCACTTCTGTATTTCTGTCCCAGCTACTTTGTTCAGCAGGCCATTCAAACATCAGATGTGCTCCACCCCAAGCTGCACATTTCTGATATAAGGATCTGTCCCTCATGTGCAGTCACTTCCCAAAACAAGTTAGTTATCGGATGGCTAAGCCCCATAACACCCTTCCCACTCCACTGTTCACAAACAGTTTGAGAGTTATGGAACTGTCAGTTTTTCAGATCACTTTGTTCAAGGCCCCTGGTAAATTTCTGAGGAACCTCGTGGTTCCTGGATGAATTCTGGAAGTCACTGTCTTCTGGCAGGGAGTCCCTTGAGAAGTTGCTCTACTTGTGTGCCTTTGTACCCCGCCTTCTCATTCCAGCTCCACGAGAAATTTGATCGCCTAAAGAAGCTGCATCAGGATGAGAAGAAGAAACTGGAGGACAAGAAGAAATCCCTGGATGATGAAGTCAACGCCTTTAAGCAGAGGAAGACAGCTGCCGAATTGCTTCAGTCTCAGACTCAACAGGCAGGAGGTTCACAGACACTGAAAAGGGACAAGGAGAGAAAAAAGTAAGTGGTCATCTGTGGCATCTTGCCTCATTGTTTTCTCCACAGTTGATGTCTTTTTACCACCCTTAAGTGCAAATGTGCACTTCTCTTACTTCTTTTTGAAATCCTCTTTGGGAGCTGGGCTTTCAGTGCAAGCCCTGGCATGAATGGGTAGAGTGAAGGATCTCTTGGGCTGTCCCTCAGCTGGTTTAATCGATGTCTGGTGATTTCCCATCTGCTCATGGCAGCATTTCTTGGGCTTTGCTAGTTGCAAGACGGTGGAAATCATCTGGGCCCGACCCTGAAGTCCAGAAGACTTGTTCCCGTATTAAAACTGGCCATGACTAACATATAGCAATTGCCTGACCAGAAGAACCCAAAATGGTTTATACATGATGGCTGCAGTGAGAAGTGGAGTGAAATCATTTTGTGTGGTGACACTGTTGCTTCAATCTTATTTACTTCACCTCATGAAAGGAGATGTTGAATTCTGCCGTTAAGGCCAGGTGTCCCTCATTCTCCTCAGACCCTTGATTTCTGTTACCCAAAGAGGAGATTGCCACTCATTTAGGGACACCTTTCAGCTTAAGAACCGAGGAGGCCAAGTAGGATCCACTTATCCTACTAACTTTCCTCATGGTCCTTTATCATGTCGGAAAATGGTAACTAAGTTGGCCTTCTCAGAAACAAGGAAGCTGTATCTCCCTGACTTCCCCGTTTCCATCATTTTACCAAGGCTTCCCCATGATGACCATTTACTGGCTACCTGCAAATTCTTTTAATTTTTCCCACCCCTCAAAGTAATACACAAATCAAGACTTCTTTAAAAAAAAATTCTTTGTTTCTTTTCCCTTACATTTTAAGTGCGCTAAATTGCCTTCCTCTTAGTTGGTATTTGTGTGCTATTTTTCAGTTAATCCCTGCTGTTTGCTGCATGGTGCATGCATGGTGCATGAAGGCACCTTGTGCTGGTAAGCTGTGACTAAACCAAGAAGCCACTGCGGTGGGATCCACGAGTGCGCCTCGTGCAAAACCAGACACTCCCCTTCTGAATCGTCCGACTTCTAGCATTTCTGGCCACTCCCAGCATATACCTCTTCCAATTATGCACCTTTCTTCTTTCTTCCAGTAAGGTGAATGCAGGCAGAAGACCCTTTAACTCCTACATATATTATTTGGACAGCTGCAAATATTTTTTTAAGTCCTTCTGAAATGCACTATAGTTGCTCCCTGCTCCCCGCCCCCATGTCTTTTTTGTACCTGATACTGGTTTACACAGGGCAGTAAGTAACTGAGGTTCATAAAGGGACATTTTTCTTTTTTTCTTTTTTTTTCATTCAGGACAGGATGAGGTTAAAAGCCTTTTGCTCAATTAACATTGTGCAAAAATAGTGTCATGAGCCCTTAGTTGCTGAGCTGGTTAGATCCAACAATAACTAAATCTGCTACTAGTCTACAAGTGAAAAAAAAAAAGTTCCAGATGTTTAGGATGGAATCTTATTTGAATCGCTGGAAACCTTTTACAACTGTTGATGTGGGGGTCTGATATGTAATTTAAACAAGTTCTTCTGGGGTTAAAATACTCTTCCAGAATAGTTTCTGTGCAGAACGAAAGACCAGCTAAGAGCAGAAAGGGGAAAAACCAACAGTTCGTCTTCAGGACAACATCAGCAATGTGAAAAACGGGCACAAACAATAGCCCTGTTTATCCTGGTCTCAGAGCATAACCAAGGGCTGGAGAGGAACTGGAATAAACATTGTGGCTCCTTGTTAGCTTTGAATTGTGGTTGGCAGATTGCCACGTACAACACTGAAGCATGCTAGTTGTGGCTGAAAGAAGCCTCCTTTTTTGTTCCTCAGATTATAGGTGGCAAACACAGAGGCATCTGTTCATTCCTTTGCAAAGTGCGGGGAGGTCTTTCCCAACAATTCACAAATGTTTCCAGGATTGATTTGGGCTGGGAAATCTCGCATGGCTTGATATTTTCCTGCATCCAACTAAGCGACCAGCTGCAATCTGCTGGCAACCGAAGTGTTGCAAACATATTGCTGTATAATTCAAGCATGTGTAAGCAAAATCAGAAACTAATATTTTTTTCCCTTCCTCTTCTAATTTAGAGACCAGGGATGGGCAAATAGAGGTCCAAAGGCATCACGGGAATGCCGGAATTCGGTTGAATTCTGTTCGTATGCCAGCATTATAAGAGCTTACGTTTTAAGCATCCCCTTCTAAAATTGCTATGTGGTTTATAAGCTGAATGGCTCAAGAATCTTAAAAGACAGATAAATATTGCTTCCAGTTCATTGCGGTCATTCTTTTTCCTTTAAGGCTGTTCTTAAACCTGAAAGTCAGGTTTTTTGGTAAACGATTTATATTTTGCTCCAGAATAGGAAGATCACGGTTGATGCATGTGCCCGTTTTCAGTTGATCAGCAACTGCCATAAAACATGAACCTTTGAATGTAATATATAAACAATGGACTTTGTGTCTCATACCATGTTTCCTAGTGTGACATTTGATTGAAAATACGTTGCCCATCCCTGGTACAAACCATATGTATCTTACAATTAATTGAGAGAAACATTAATCCTTTTTTGTTGTTTGTTTTCAGTTCAGGCTTCCTGTAGACCTTACTCTTTTGCTCCAGAAAAGACCATCCCACATTTTGAATTAATATACAGTCCACCCCTATACCTTTTCTTCCTAGTGCATCTTCTTGTTCTGTTCTGCATTTTTTCCTGTTTTGTTCCATTTTCCTGAATGCAAAAAGAGGCTGTACTCCTTTGACTGTTTTGGCGAAGAACTCGGCAATGCTTTCTTGGATCTGATGAGTCAGACTCCAAATACTGGTCTGTTTTTATCCCGTTGACCAGCAATCTTTTCAGGACTGATGTCCCCGAAATGTTCAGCATCAGCATTTCATTAATGCAATGCCTGTGCACGTGTGGGTGTGTTTGTGCACATGTGAATGGCCAGAGGCTGCATGTCTGCTTAACAGCTGCACTGGGACAGCTAAACTCTTTCGAGAAGGGAGAGAAAAGAAAGTTGAGCATAAAAAGTTCTTTTTTTCCTTTTTCCTTTGCTTTTTGGAAGAGCTTTATAGGAGATTTTTAAGGAGGTTTTTGTTGTTTTTCCCTGTATCTTGACTGTTACAAAGCTCAACCCAACCGATGAGTGCAAAAATAGGAATTTGAAGATGTAACCAGAGCTGTTCACATTTCCCATCCCTATCCGGGGAGGCTGAATATTGAATCTTGGACCTTCTATGTACAAGCAGGAGTTTTACCATTGAATTCAACCTGGCTAGAATCTATAGCTTTGAATTCAGTGGGCTTTGCTTCCATGTTAATTTTGCAACATTGTCCCCTTTAGTACTTCATTCTGCAGGGATAGATAAGCATCCGGTCATTTTGTACAAAAATAATCTGTTATTTCTCAGTTTAAAAATATGAAGTCTTATCTGAAAAAATAGACTTTTTTCTACCCCAAAGCTGGAGAGGGATAAAGAATTCTAAGGCATCCTTCATTTCTATTCAGATTTGATTAGTTTTAATCATGGAAAGCTTGATTTAAGAGCAAGCAACTTTGGGCAGTCTCACAAAGTGACATTTTCCGTGTTGTATGGGAGAAGCTGTGATATATATACATATAAAAATAAAATAAAAACTCTTGGTTATCCAGAAGGAGCAAGTAAATTACTTAGCACTCACTTCTCCCTCCTGGACATTCTCCCTTTGAATGGACTTCAACTCCAGATGTTTCCCATGAATGTTCCTGTGACCGTTGCTGAGAATTTGAGGAGCTGAAGTTTTACGTTTGTAGGGTCCCCAGATTGAGGAAAGTTGCTTTAGAGTTAGTAACCCCCAATTCTTGGCCACCAAGAGTTGCATCATTTGTTATATCTGTGTTTGGCCTTGACCTGTGCTCTTCACAGAGTACAGTTCTGAAATTCAGGGCATCTAAAAAGTATGGGCCCATTTTTGTTGAAAAATCTTGGTACTGGGAAATGCCCTTGATAGAAATGGGCACGAGTTTTTCTACCAGAAAGCCAAGAGTGACTGTTGGCATCTTCCAGGCCCCATCCAAACAATTCTATCTAGCTCCCAACAGTTACCCTTGATTTCAACTGAAGTATAGCTTAAAAGAGAAAGTTCCATGTTTTTACTAGCAAGGAACCGGATATTGCCTCTACAAATGTGCGCGAGGGAAGTGCATTTCCCACTTAAATGTTTTTCCTGTCTTTGAATTTGATATCCTGTTCCCACATTTGTTCCTGAGTACATGTCTTCTGTAATTGTAAAATTTTTCCTACTTGGTGGGCCTAGTTATAACGGTGATGGACAGGCCACCCATGACCAACCATTGGCCCATTCCATGGAGAGAAATTGTCCCCAGCCCCCAATGCAGAAATAGCCATCCCTGTGCCAAACAGCCAACTTGATTAATAGCTTAGAGCACGGTTCCTCAACCTTGGCGACTTGAAGATGTGTGGACTTCAACTCCCAGAATTCCCCAGCCA